GTGTGTGTGTGTGTGTGTGTGTGTGTGTGTGTGTGTGTGTGTGTGTGCGCGTGCACGTCTGTAATCATGCAAACACGGTATGATGGCAGCTCAGCACAGTACATTGATTCAGAACTGCACTACCTACTACTCAACTCACATCTCCAGACATATTTATTACTTGCTGCCGCAGCACTGATCCTTCACATGCACATCTCTAATTGTCTTCCCAGGGAGAGGATTAATAGCTAAGGTTAAATAAACTTGGTGCCCAGACAGAGCTTTCATTCCAACACCTCTCTATGTCATCTTTCCCACCCTGCTGGGAGATGGAGACAAGCTGGCCGCACTGGGCCGAGAGCCACTCTCCATGGCTCAACCTGAAACCCTGTTTATTTGTCCTGCTGAAGGGGAGACAGGGATGGATGTAAGCTGATGGTTGGGAAAGCGGCAGAAAGAGAGAAACAAAGTCACAGGAGGTGGGGAGAAAAAGAAGAAGCTTGAGAAAAGAGCGGGCGGGTGTTTATGCTTCTGTTTTGAAAAGGGGAAGAGGAGGACAGACGATTGAAGGATACTAAACAGACAAGCAGACGAAGCGCAACTGTAAACAGGCAGCAAGAGCTCTGAAACCAAGAAACGATTCATTCCTTCACAGCTTCCCGTCAAACCTTCACATGTTGCATGACCTTGATCATATCAGTGTGCTGTTGAATGTCTTTGCTAATCTGATAGGTGATCCTAGACAGGTGTTATAGACATGTGGGGAAAAAAATGGAGATGAAAATGAGCCAGGAGGAAAATTGATGTGCTGCTGTGAATGAGAGAAGATTTGGCAAAAGTCTTTTAAACAAGTATACCTTGAGACAGGAGAGAATCGCACACGCGCGCACACACACACACACGCACACCTTTGCAGGCAGCACATTCCTATTAAAGTAAATACTCATCTTTCACACCTTCTTTAGTGTCGGAGGCCGGGCTGGGTGGCATCTGCCTATCTAAACAACCAGAGGTTAACCTCTCATTTTCTTTAACAGCTGATTTATACTGCTCAGCATGTTTTTCCTGTCGCACACAATTTTAACATCAACCGTTACTCACCTGTAATACTTCTGGACTGTGTTGTCAGTTGCTCTTGTCCAAGAGTAAAATTTGATTTGAGGTGCTCTGTGATCTGCCCTCTAGCTCATACTCCTGATAACTCCTTCCTGGGCTTTGTGAGTGAGGAGGCAGCGAGGGAGGAGGTGAGGGAGGAAGAGCTGGAGCCGGACCGCTACAGGAAAGACAGGATAGCAGTCATTTACGGCAAACAAGACTATATGTGGCAGGTAAAATGACCAAGAGAGAAAAGTATATGTATGTCGAAAGGCTGCAAGAAACATGTCAAGAAGCCCGTTTTACATGATAGGGAAGATTTCATAAAAGACAGCTTAGTGCTTTTGTTCACCCTGGTCTTAAGATACTCTGTGTCCTGTATGTTTCTGTATGTGTGTGTTTATATGCCAGGGTAAATCTGAGTATGTGGAGGTGATCAGTGAAGAGATGGAGACCCACGCTACAGTCTACCAGCCTCCAGGACTCGCCTCTAATCTGCCCGGCTTCATCAGAAACCACGGCCTGCTGACTCAGGAACAATTCCTACGACTTCTACGCAGAGCCAAGGTCAGATAAGAGCCAGAAAATCTTTTAAGTGCATCTAATGCTTCTTAAGTCGATTTGTGACACAATCATATTGGACTGAATTGTGGCCCCATATGGGTCACTGCCCTTACTCGTTTATCCTGCCTGCCTTGTTTATATTCTTTGACAGATCCTCATTAAGATGCAAAATGACACGTCTTCCCTTTCAGGTGTTTGTAGGTCTTGGGTTCCCCTATGAGGGACCAGCACCCATTGAGGCAATAGCCCTGGGCTGTGTCTTCCTACAGCCACGATTTCACCCACCACACTTATCAGACAACAATGATTTCTACAAAGGGAAGCCCACCACAAGACAGGTCGATAACACTGCAAACTTAAATAATAATGACAGTTTGAATTGAATCAATTCTTAGATCTAAAGACAGTAAATAACTTTGGATGACAGATCTCCTCCCAGCACCCTTATGCTGAGGAATTCATCGGAAAACCTCACGTGTGGACCGTAGATGTGACCAACAAGACTGATGTACGGGAGGCAGCCAGAGCTATTCTACGCACAGAGGTATATATGTGTGTATATATAGACACACGTTATAATCCTGTCAATTTCTGTTTCAGTACTGCTGAATAAATGCATGCGTATATGTTTTTGGCAGGTGAAGCCTTTCACTCCCCGAGAGTTCACTTGTGAGGGAATGCTGGAGAGGGTTCGTGGCTATATCGCTCACCAGGTACAGAGTCGTAGCCATAGACCTGTTGCAGTATTTTTGGTGCTCCCTCTACCCAATTAGACTCCTGATGTAACACAATCTTAATCTCTAAAATGGATGAATTTCAAGAGACATTTTTTTGTGATTTATTTACAGGCTTTTCCACCCGTTCTTTAGATAAACCATTCAGTTGTTTTTTTTGTTCAAACTCTCCCTATTGTCAACTTTCTTTCTCTTAAATCCCTCCAGAATTTTTGTAGCACATCTGTCCCTACTTGGCCACCAGAAAGTGCTTTAAGGGTGCACCTGGGTCCCCTGGGTCAGTCATGTGTAAGTGTGTGTCGACGGTCCTCCCTCGTGTGTGAGCCAGCTCTGTTTCACCACCTAAACAGTCCTGCTGCGTTCGCCAGGTGAGAAATCAGCAGCTACACACTGTACAGTTATTGGGGGGGTGAAAGGCAGTTTAACAAGTTCAGAGTTGTGAAAATTACCAATGAAAGGGCCTTTGTGAACTTACTGTATAATACATGCCGTTTTCGCACTTTCATTTCCCATTTTGTAGACTCAGGATCGGCTGCTCCAGCATGGGGAAGGAAGTCAACCACCTGTTTCCTTCCTACAGCCCTTGGGGCCGACTTTGTGGCCTTCAACAGGAGCCTCTGCTGTTCAGTTGCGCCGGCTCCGATCCCTCTCACCGCAGACTGTGTCCCTGCAGAGCTCACCTACCTGGACAAGTGGCGCTGTGCCCCGACTGCCTCTAAACTACTCAGGAAATAGCGGGAGGGGAAGAGGAAAAAGGTAATATGATAAAGACAGCACCAAAGAGCCATTTGCAATACAAACTGTACAGGTGAAGAATAGTTCTTGACCAAAGAGAGCCAGCTATCCCGCCAATGCTACTGAAAGCTTTGTGGTCTTGTTTGTGGATCTCAAGCCGAGGTTGAAAGATAGTAGATAGATCTGGATTTTATTTTTAGAGTTGAAAATCAACCATTTTCAGTGTCCCAGTAATCTGAATCATCTCAGATTAGCGTCACTGGCATTCATTATGTGGTGTCAAGTGGGTAAAGTTTACTTACTGTATGTGAAAATTCAAATATGGCAGGGTGCGCCCACTTTCTAGATTTGTCCATCCCCATTGTTATGGACAAGAATTTTGTTTACGACAGTCATTACTCAGGAACCAAAAAAATTAATGATTGTCATTTCATAAGTGTTGATGATTAATTCAAAGCCTGGTGGCTCATGGTGCACAATAAAACCCTTCTTGTTTTTGTAGCTTTCCCATGATCCCTTAAGCAAACAGTCTTGACGTATGAAGGCAAGACACACTTTAGGGGATGTGTTTAGGTGTATTTAAATGTATATAAATGTGAAGTGGCACTTATGAATCTAAAGCCATTTAATTATCTTCTCCTGCTCCAGATTAAACACAGTTCAGTGTACTTTGATGTTATGCTGAATAAGTGTCTAATCATTAATTTGCTTACAGTAATGTATCACGCTGGTCAGCGTTGCATGGGATTACCACTCATGTAACCCCTCACTGCTTTGCTGGCTGCAAATATTAGCCTGGGCCTCGGAGGAGAGCGGGTGACAGCCTAAGTGATGAGGCTCATTATCCGAGTGAATCATGGATAACCTCTGGATGCCTTTGGGAGGTCACAGCCATATCACCATGATTATACTGACATATAAACCATTGGTTCCCAACCATCTTTGACTTAGGAAACCCCCCTCAGCTCTGTTTAAATCCATGCCCCCCACCAGCAAAGGCAGAACCTGATTGTTTTTCTTTCAAACACATATTCTGCGTCATTAGGACCAGGGAAAAAGTCACTGAAGGCAGGATTAAATATGTTTTCTCTAGTTATTTTACTAGAAATGATGATTTTGATCATAATAGATGACTCAGTTCTTGCTTTTGCGCCAGTATTATTCCTAGACTGCCTCATAACCTACAGATATTTAAAGCCTCCCCCAAGAACAAAACTGGAAACTTAACATACAGTACACAGAGTGATTTGGCTGCATGACACACGCAAAGGGAGGTTTTAAGCTTTAACGTTTCCATTTCAGAAACCTCAAATAGTCACACAGACTTCTCCCATCATCCCTTCCTGCAAAACAGCTTTCTGAAAGACACAAATGATAATAAGTAAAGGCTAAACTACAGCCCACAGTCAGTGTTGTAAGTGATGGGGTGCTGGATTTACACGGCGCAGCTGTTTGCAAAGATGGATCCAACAATGGCAACACGTTGCTATATTGAACCGGGTCAATGTGAGGTTTTTCTTGGAAAGGACGCACTCATGAATGTTATTTGGCAGAGCAAGAGACCTTTTCCGCCCCGATACACTTCATGTGACCAGAACACATTGTGACTCAGGGATTAGACTGCAACGACAGGACTGGTTGACAACGCGATTGACCGGTAAATGCATGTGAAACGGTCCACGAAAACAACATTTGTGATGACTGTGGTGGACTCCAGTGAATTCATTTTGACCTGTCAAATGTGACTTTTGTTTAATTAGCTGAGCGGTCCAAAGATGACGGAAATTAACTTGTTCATGTCAAAACGTTGTTTGGATTAAAGGAAAATAAAAGTTGCTTTTGACTCAGAGGGAAGTCTCTGAAGCTAATTTTTGGAAAGTGATGTGTAATTTCTGGATGAGTCATGTTAAATATCAGTTACATGTGTTATGGCATATAAAAGCTGTCTCTCACCTCCCCGGAGGCTGATAGCAGAGGGTTCAAACTAAGGGTTTAAAAACAGTACCAAGGAGATATGGAGCAAACGCGTCAATGCGGACAGACTAAGGTTGCATTGTTCCACACAGCTGCTACTGACATCATATTGAATGAGACTGTTTGTGAGAACCCCATTTGACAGATAGATTGATAGAAATAGTTCTTAACATATTGTAATTTCAGTTAAATGAAAGAATTCACAGCCACTTGGCTCACTTAGTCACAGTGGTGCTTTGAGCTAAACGTTAACTCTAGCATGGAAACATGCTCACAACCACAATGCTAATATGCTGACAATTAGCAGGCATATTGTTCAGTGTTCACCATCTTAATTTAGTATGTTAGCATGCTAACATTTAGAAGCACAAAGTGCAGCTGAAGTTGATGAGAATTAAACCAGAGTAGCCTATATGTTGACCTGTTGATGATGTTTACACTATAGAGGAAACGTCAGGGGATAACCAAAGTGATTTCGGTTCATCCCAAGGGGGACATGAATGTCTACACAAATGTTCATCTTAATCCCTACAATAGTTCAGTTATTTCAGTCTGGACCAAAGTGATGGACCAAGTGACAGATGGACATTGCCATCCATGGAGCCATGCCACTGGCAGGGTTAAACATACTGTACTGTACTTGCATGTGCCTGCTGCATGCCACCTCACCACGTTGAAATAACGATTAGATGGTTAGAAAATAAGGGATGATTGATGGAGGAGAAAAACAATCGAAACCATTGAGAAACCAAGAGAGGAAACATGAACCTGTGTCAGGGTCAGCCAGACATCGTGAAGCGTTCTAGCTCCAGCAGAGGTTCAATAATGTTTGTCTGAGTGCTTTTTAAAATGACATGAGAGACAGGAACTCCTTTGGCCACATAGTGACTCTTTCTCCTATACCTTTTAACTGTGGAATGTGGTGGCAAACCAAATTTCACTGCCAAGAAAAATGAGGGATCTTATAGAAGAAAGCAATACACGAGAGTTTCACTTAAAATCAAACTTTCAACCTGTGTCATGTCTGTCGTTTTATATGAAAGATAAAGATTTATTCAGAGAAAAATCATGCTATAGAGAAAGGAGATAGCCATTTACATGTCTTTTCAGACTTTATTGCTATTTCACATGTGTAGTTTTTAAAAAAGCACAAAAATCGTTCACATTTAGTCCAAATGATTGCCCTTTGTCAGGTTCAACTTCAAGTTACATAGAGGAATATTATAGACATAACTCATCTGTGTCTGCTTCTTTTGAGGGATACTGGAAAATTAAGTAACCACCAACATTCATAGTTATTGCTGTATTCTATTTTCACAACTGTTTACTATCAATCACACTGTTATACTGGATCTTCAAGTTTTTCCCAATTTACGTCAGATCGAGTGAATCCCCCCTTTTCTCATTTTATTTGGTCTCCTGACGGCTTTTTTTCATTCCGAGACGCTTTTCTTCACATGCCTTTTACTATTACTCATGTCTCCCCTCTCTTCCTGCATCTTTATCCATGCTATGATGAGTTCATAGCAAAAAGTATGTTGTAAAATATTGGAGACAAGAATAAGGAATAATCTGGTATTAACAATTCCTTTCGCAAATTCTGATGTGATGCATCTGCAAGTACAGATGGATAGGAACAGTGACAAATTGTCTTAAAATATAAGGGACATATTAGTTTAGTTCTCTGCATATCGTTGGATAAAATGGCAAATGTAACTGAAAAGGGCCAAATGTTTTTTAATACATTATTTTTATCGTCCATATGTCTAGGAACCTCTTTGCCTCTCCAGCTTTGTTGATTTGCAACAGCAGGTTGTTCCCTAAAGGGGGCAGTGTGGTCAAGCTAAACCAGCTGGCATTGTACTAAGTCACAGCATGAGCCAAACCTCAGCAACATGTTTAACTTGATGAGAAAAGAGAAAGATTTAAAAAAAAATAAAATAAACATCCAAGGAAAAAGTGATTTTTGCTTTTCAGGCAGTAGATGTGTGAGAACATATGGAGACACTTTCAGTCTTCTCTACAGGTAGCTCTGAGTTAGTCCAACCACCACACTTGCGCATGTTGGGAGAGAGAGAGAGAGCAGCTCAACTACCATAAGAAAGCAGCTGCTTTTATTGAAACCCGTTATTGGCGTGCTAAGATTACACTGAACAACAACCCTCTTCTGGAAAGCCAATAAAATGCCGGCAACAAACACTTGGCTTGCATACAGCGCTGTTAGAAGCCACAGAGGTTGGCCTTCATGATACTTGGTAACTATTACAGACTATTAAACTGAAAGAATAAAAGAGGAAAAGAACAGGGGAGAGAGAGCGAGAGAAAAGGGAGAGGAGCAACAGGGATTCGATACTCATTGACTCATTGTTGGGCAACCTTACAGCGATGCTGTACTCTGGTGTGCATGTGTACAGACTGTGTGGAAGTTAGTTTGATTGTTGAATGGAAAAGTGTGTTTCTGTATCAGCCTAGAGACAGATGAAATAGTTCTCTGCCTGATCTGCTGTTACATCCATCAGCAACACACAACACAGGCCAGGGAGCTGTTGTGTATGCTTGAGTGGTTAGGGCCGGGCATGGGCCTTTCCGTGATTCCCCCCCAAACGTCTCGTGTCAGTATTCCAGCAATCTCACCACACCTGAGTAACTCGGTTGCCTCTAAGTGTGTGTGTGTGTGTGTGTGTGTGTCCACATAGCTGCTAATCCCATTGTCTTTATGTATGTATTCAACTGAAAGAATTTTATGACCTCGAGGGGACAGGAGAGGTCACCGGCGCAGAGTGAGTTCTTAGAAACAGCAGCCGCAAGAGAAAACATATCTGAAGTAATTTATAAATGTGCTGCAAAATTGTGCGTCAATGGAGGACAAAGTTGTGAAGAAACACAGAGCTAAGAGAGCCCTCGTCATCTTTCATCCCACACCTCCGAATTACCTTCATTTTCTGGGGCCCCATAAATTGGCTCTTATTGTCACATAAATGGCTCCTTTTCGGGTGGGATTTATAGTGAGGGGTGGCAATGGGGTGTACAGGGGGGAGTTCAAAACCCACCTTTTGATGTTCCCTCTGCTTAACAGGCAGTGCAGACGTGCCTGCCCATATGCTGCATGGTGCCTTTGCCACACACTGCTAGCGTGCAACTCTCTCACACACACATGCACATTAAAAGATATTAAACTGCTTTTCTGCTTTCATTCAGAGTCATGGGATGTAACAGCCAAGCAGGGTGGTTCGCGTTAAGCTGTGCCACTTCCTCAGCTGTAATTAAAGCCGCCCATGCAGGGGGTCTCTAACAGTCTTGTTTTGCTACACCCCTGATCCTGACCTTTTTAAAAGGAGGCGGTGAAGCTTTTTTTTTTTTTTTTTCTAACACTGAAGAATAGCTTGAAATAATATAGTCTGGAGGTTATTTCTGGGTGACGATGTGTTTTTCCATGTAGTTTTAATAATATACGTCTTTCAACTTGTTAAAAATCAACCAAAATATTTCAGTTCTGATGTCACAAATAGAAAGGTTTTTGGCACTACAGTTTACACAGATCACAGATGTGGTATATAAAAGCACATTGCGTCATAAAAACACTCTACAGAAGGGTGACACATTGAGGTGAAACCTACATAAGCAAATATGGGTGTCTTAATTAATTGCAGGCCAGTTTGCGGGAACAAACATGGTAATGGTGGAATCCCTCACTATTAATGTGATGAACACGTGCTGTTGGCGTGGTGTAAGATAAGATGCCAAACTTCAGGTCCACTATGCTTCAAGCTATGTAAAGTAAAGAACAAACTCATTTATTACCACAGTGTCAGCTAGCTAGCTTAGCTGTTGAACTTTGCTGTTTTTCCACCAGCATATAGGTCTAAAAGCAGTGAGCTGGAGTGAGAAGGCAGTCAGAACTGGACCACAGTTAAGCCAACAGACACGGCAATATAACCTGTCAGAAGGTGATTGATACGTGTCCTTTAGAGTGTGCATTCAGAAACTATTCAGACCCCTTCACTTTTCACATTTTGTTATGTTGTAACTGAAACTAAAACCATTTGAATTATATTTCCCTCCTCAATCTTCCCTCAATAACCCACAATGACAAAGTGAAAACGGGATTTTAGATTTTGTTAGCAAATTTATTCAAAAGTAAAAACAGTAATATCACATGGATTAGGGGATTTTCTGCCATTTTGTCTCTGCAGTTTCTCCTGTCTCCACACAGGATCTCAGCCACAGTGACCATCGTGTTTCCTGGTCACCTGTCTGACAAAGGCTCAGTCTGTCCAGGCGGCCTGCTCTAAGAAGACTCCTGGTTGTTGCAAACTTCTTCCGTTTAAGAATTATGGAGGCCACTTGGGAAACCTTCAATGTAGCAGAATGTTTTGTAGCCTTCCTCTTCCTCCATCCGTGCCTCGCCACAATCCTGTCTCTGAGCTCCGCAGGCAGTTCTTTCAACCTCATGGCTTGGCTTTTTTTCTCTGCTATACATTGTCAGCTGTGAGACATTATATAGACAGGCGTGTGCCTTTCCAAATCACGTCAAATCAATTGAATTTACAACAGGTGGACTCCAATCAAGGTGTAGAAACGTCTCAAAGATGATCAAGAGAAGTGGGAGGCACCTTAGCAAAAGTGTCATAGCAAAGGGTCTGCATAGTTGTCAATGTGATATTTCCTTTTTCTGAAATCCCGATTTTAGCATACGGTTGCGTCTAGATACCTTTTTGAATGCACATGAGCTGAGGTGGGAAACTCAATAGTGACCACTAGTGGGCGGATTGAGAATGGCAGAAGTTAGTGAGACGAACCAGAGACAGAAGTGAGAAGAGAGGATGACAGAAAAGTTGTTGTAGACAGCGAGACAATATGT